AAGATGAATCGCTCTTCTATTTTGGGCTCCGTGTCAGCTCCACAGCTAATAGGAGCGTAAAACATCTGGCCACATCTTTCTTCCTTTATCTTTTTTATAAAGATATGCACGCTTTTCACGATGCTGTGAAACTTCTCAGGTTTGGCTGACTGTACTGATTGAAAGATTTAAACTAGGATTTTGATAGCTGGAAAGTTACAACTCAGGGTTTTGCAATACGAGATGGAAGTGATTTCAAAAAACATGAGACTAACGTTGCAGTTGTGTAAACTGGTGCTCGAAATGTCTTATCTCACTCTCTTTAGTTCTCTCTCTTAAACACACACTCACATAGACAAGCATACATAGACAGGGTGTGACTCATTTAGTCAAAGGATGACTGGACGTACGGGGATATCGTGCTGCTTCATTTGACAATGTGACTGGTCATGATTAAAGCAATGACCAGATCTTGTAAAATTCCTGCTGGTGATTCAAAATGTGGTCACAGTTACCTTGAAACCACACATAAAACAAATACACGTTGCAGAGCAACAAAGAAGTGTCTGCAATAAGAACTTACGTGAAGCAAAAATAACAATGGTCTACACTCCCAATTTCTACGACAAAATAACAGTGATGAAATGTTTAATACAAAAAAAAAAGTACTCTAACTAACACAGCCCATAAAACACACACTCTGGACATATGTCTTCCATTTGACTGTGTCGCTCATTACAGGCATCGCAGAATCATACTTAAACGCCAAGCAAACACCACCCCTCTCTGTCATCTGTTGCTTTGGCGGGCTGGTCGATCTACATACATCTGACGCTGTGGGTCTGATATGGGCACACTCGGTGGCTGTGCCCCATTTGCTCACCTGATTACAAAAGCAGCATGCTATGCACACCAACTCCGAAAACAGGTGTTGTGAAGCAAGCATAGACAAAAGAGAAGAAAGTGAGCACAATGTAGAGCACACGCCGAGCAAAATAAGTTATCCGACTTCGTTGTGGACAGCCGAACATCTGCACTGAAACAAACCGACTACCTTTAAAGACAGTGGACTGATCCCCAAAGCAGGCGTGTTCCTAAACCGGCCAAGTTTCCATTTTATTATAGGAAACACAGCTACTAAATGTGGAAATATAAAACAGAAACTCTGTGAAAAAAAAGATTTTCACGACAATGTAGAGATCCGTGGGCAGTTGTTGAAGGCCTTTCTGGACAGTGAAAAGCTAGTCAGGGTTCCCCGTCATACTAGTAATGAGGGGCAGAGGACTGTGATAGCTGTAAGCTAATCAACACCGGCGCATAGCCAGTGGCGTGTGGTGTAGCAGGCGTCTAGTCCCATGACTCAGGGATTACAAACTAGGAATGACTGGGGATGGGACAAAGTGCATTCACCGGGAACTCACTACAGTATATACCACATCAAGGGCATGAGAGAAACTCATGTGGCCAACAGAAAGACATTGAAACAGAGGGAGAAAGGGAAAGGAGGGGGGAAGAATGCTAGTGGAGAAATTGAGTCAGTGGGTGGGTGAATGACTGAAAAGAGTAACAAAAAATGCTTGTTAATGCTTTCTGTTCCTCTCTCCTTTGCTTTGGTTGTCGGTGTTTTTATGTAATGCAAATAAAATCAGAAGCTGCGAGAAAGGCATTCTAGCCTTTGTGAGCTCTTTTGCTTTTATAGCCATTTACTGTAGCCTCATTGGCCACACCTTGGTAGCTCCTCAACCCCTTACTCACCATATGCTTATTATTTAGTCGACTGCTGTCTGTGGCGCTAGCACGCCTTTTTTATGACTAAGCTTTATAAGCAAATATTAAGGTGTGTAGTCACGAGGGAAGCATCAAGAAAGACCCACGCACCATAACGGTTTTATGTTTCTATGGGCAACGCAACAGATGTAGGAACCAGTGAATGGTTGGCTGACTGGATGCGGGAATAACCCATTTAATGAAACAAAGTGGCACCACTGTGCAACACTGAAAAGAAAGAAAGAAAGAAAGAAAGAAAGAAAGAAAGAAAGAAAGAAAGAAAGAAAGAAAGAAAGAAAGAAAGAGTCATTGTGAAAGCCAAATTGTCACAGGGAGTCCCATTGAGCAAACTGATATCTGTTGCCCTCTAGGGACAGTCGAATCCCATTCAAATGAAACCTCATGTTAAGTAGGTGAGGCTGGACTAAAGTTTTGATCTCACAAACTAGATAGTTCGACACGCCAGACATCAGAAGAAAAACTGACCCGTTTGCTCTGTTTGGCCCAGTTCATTGACAGACCACATCAAGAGAAGCACAGATCACCCAAACAGTGTTTGCACAGCTGCTAGCCAGCCACGCACACTCAAACACTGGCATATATTACACTGTGCTACTCAAGCAGTGCTGTCACAAACGCACTAAAGAAAGAAAGAAAAAAAAAAAAACTTATGTAACTCCCTTATTCCTGACTCAAGCTACTACTCCTCTCCACAGTGCACCAACATGAGAGGAACCATGAAAGAGAAAGTAGGTGAAGTCCTTCTATGAGTCTACTGTTTTTGCCATGGCCTGTATGTGCTTGTGCATCTGCTGCCTTTTTTAAAGTGTGGATTTGGATGCCATATAAGGTCTCTCGGAAGAAACGTCAGAACTGCCAGTTACAACAAAGTGCAGCATTTTTGATCAGATAAACCTGAACCTTGCCAAAGCTATTTCTATGCTTCTATGCATACCACCCAGCAGGGCATATTCACAAAACATTCCTGTCTTTCACTGAACCTCGACCTTCAGGCCTGGCAGAGACATAAACAAAACAGGGACTGCTCATTCAGGTCTAAAAACTGTATTGTAAATAATTAACTCTGTTGAATATTAAATCCATCACTGGGCAGCCATAATAAATGTTTCTCAAATGTACTACAATGCGCCTGGTGAGGTAATGTTCTACACTATCTTTCAAATTAGTCTCTGTAGAAGTTTCCTCGTGGCTAGAGAGTGCTTTCAGCAACAACAACCCCACCGGCTGGGTCACAACAAAGTAAGCTTGGGGTGCTTCGAAGTGAATCCCATAACAGTGAAGTAAGCAGTGTTATTTTGGGTTTACCTCTGCGCGAATGACTTTTAAAGAGTTACCTCTGCTGTCACTTCCGTCAAAAAAAGAAAACAAACAAAAGAGCAAGGTGGGCTAGAAACCACTTAAGACTGTTAGCAGGGTGTGCATGCATGTGCAGTGTGTGACTGCAGGTGTTATTCAAAACAATGCCATAGACCTGACGGGGCTAAAGCTGAGCTGCCATCACCACTTGCTGCAGAGGTGCTTCTCACAGTAACAGTCCAAGAACTTGACCTGTGTGGACTACTTTCTTTCAGTAAGCTGTAAGCAAAGGGCAAGTGCAACTTGGTCATGCCTTTAAATTTGTTATTTCTTATCAGGCTGAAGAACAGCCTTGGCCATTGGTAGTACATCTATCTTGCGACTATGGTAACACCAAGAAGTAAACAAGAACAGTGTGCGTGAGTGTGTGCGTGTATGCATGCGAGAGGGAGGTGAAGAAAGGATGTGTTTGTGTGAAGTTGTGAACTGCTCCTTGGCAGGCTTGGCTTGACCTGAGTGCACCCAACTTAGCGTAAGTAGGAGCGAGAGTTGCGAAATGCTTTTGCAAGATTGTGCTACGCTTTGGCAACAATTCTGCAGCTGTCAGCAGAATTTGCGACTTTTGTGTGATGTGCATGTATGAATCTATGCTCTGCAGGTATTGACAGCAGGGAGAAGGCGGTTAATGTGGTGAGTCACAGCCCCTTAGTGGGTCAGCACTAGCAATTAGTATCAGATTTCCATGATGCATCACTGCTGCTTGCTACTCTGCTAATAGGTTCTCTGCACCTGAACTGCAAAAGCACAGGGGGATTGGTTAATGTAAAAAGCTGCTGAATGCAAATCCTGCAAACGTGCCACCATATGCTATGAAAAAAAAAGATAAAGAGAGAAGTGAAACCACGCAAAGGTTTAAACCCCAACACGAAAACAGCTTACAGTTGCGGCCTCCCCTGCCTGCGCCCTGGACTACCCCTGGAGCGATCCAAAGGGTTCTGGGCAGTGGAGTTAAGAGAGAGGCAAGCCTCAGCACTGCAGATTCATCACCTCAGCCTGCCTCTCCTGATTTCTGGAAAGTCAGTTTCAGCCACTAAAGGAGGAGGTGGTGGGGAGGGAGGCAGAGAAGAAAGGGAGAAAGAGGAGGCAGTTTGGTTGGTGGGTGAGGGGAGGGGAGGGGGTTATTAGGCACCACTGCCTGTCTCCCATGCCGGCTGGGCAATATGCCTTGGATTTCTCCAGCATGGCATGGAATATATGGGTCAGTGTTAGGTGAGATCAAAGCAGGATTAGAGAGATAGGGTTACCATCTGTACAAAAAGAGGAAATGTGGCAAAACTTAACTCGGATAGCTGTTCATGCTTGAGATCATCAGAGAACTGTCATAAAACATACAGCGTGTCTTAAAGTGGCAGCTACACACATGCATAAACAGTAAAAGTCACACTGCTGTTTGCATGTACTAGTAAAAATTGCCAATGCTATGCAAAGCAGCATGCTTTGTGATGACTGATCATAAATGTAAAAAGTCCAGTGTCCTAACTTTTTTTTCATATTAGCACATCATCACATCTGAAACAGTCACACCTGTCAGAGCCGGATTTCTAGCAATACGGAGCACACACACACGCACGCATGCATGTATGCATACAGTACAGTCTATTGCAAGACTCTAGACCCTCAGGCATGATTTCATCTTTCTCAAGTCTTGCCTGTAGAGTCCAATATTGAGCAACCAGCAGCGCCTTCATCAAAGAAATGCGTTCAGGACGTTATGTCCCTCTCTCAGCTCATCTACTTGTTCTCGAGAATTAGCAGCGTGCTTTACTGTGAGCGTAATCCGGAGACAGCCGCTTGTGTTACAAAGAAACATTGAGGAGTAATGTACAGTAAGTCTCGTGTTAGCTGTCAAAGCGCTCAGAAGAGTTGAGATTACTCACCGTCCATTTTTTCAGCCTTTATGATTGTTAACGTCGGTTTCATATCGACAGCTGCCGTCATGATCATCAGATCAGCGTGAATTAATAACGCCGCCTCCCTCTTTAATTCTAACACCTCCAAAAGCGCAATATATTTCAAAGGAAAAAAAAAATCTTCTCCTCCTCCTCTGGCGTCCCGATCAGTTCTTGATTTTGTAAAAAAATATATATTTATATATATATATAATATTCTCCTCTCACACTAAAAAAAAGAAATGGAAAAGAAAGAAACGATTCAGATTCTTTTACTCCTAACTTATCTTTCTCCCTCTCCGGTACACACACTCCCTCTTTTCCTCGTTCTTTCTTACTCACTCACTCACTCACACACTCACTCACTTACTCCCTCCTCTGTATCTGTGGCTATGGGCGTTGCATTTGTGAAGAACCAGAGTGCGACGACAGAGAAGGGGGCGGTGACTGGGAATAACTTGCTAGCTGATTCACAATTCAATTACAAGGACCCCCCCACCCCCACCCCCCACCCCACACCCACCTCTTCCCTCTAGACACCCCCCACACACACACACACACACACACCAGCTCATGTGAAAGCTGTTACCTGTGACCCCGAGCAGCCTACATACGTCATCGTACGCACTCGGCGCCTTGCTCTTGATGTTGAGAAACACGCTGGTGATTTGATGATGAACATTTTAAATATGTAAACACATATTTTTAAGAGAGAATAACGGGAAAAAAAACGTCTTTATCACCTAATTTAGCATGCCAAACCATTAGGAATGAATTAATGTTGATCTATGAATCAGAGTCTGAGTTATTAAATCAGAGTTATTAAATAACTGTGTGGAAATAGTATTTCTACTAAAATCTCAAAACAAATAAGCTATATAGCTGAGATGAAGTTACTAAGAGCTAAAAGAACCTGGACTGTCTCTGTCCTATATATTCTGTGGGTCCAGGCATCCTCATAACTTGTAACTCACCCTCATAAACACCTCAGAGTATTTCCTGTTCAGGTTGCAGAGATCAATAAAAGTCAGCCACGTCTGTGTTCTTTATGCTGCTGCAGCACAGTCATAACAAAGTTTGTCTTTACAAACAGTTGCCCTATTAACCTTTATTGAAAATGAAGATATAAAAATAAAATAAAAATAAGGCACAAAAGTAATGCGAGGTTTAGTTGTCTGGATGTTTAAATCGATCTGCATTACTGAGACCGTCAATGAAAATCTAGTTTGGGAAATGCAAACTGCTTTTTCTTTAGTTTTTTGCTCGCTTTTTTTTTTTTTTATCTGCCAATAATCAGGAACAATGACCATGCCTCACTGGAAATTGAATCACGTATTTGTTCTGCTGCTGAAAAAGAATAAAGACAAAAGAAAGACTGGGCTTTTTGCCACAGTAGGACTCCACTCTTCACAAGCTACTACCATCAAGGAGCACCTCCCATGGCAACAGAAGCTGTAATAACAGATGATTCATTTTTAAACCAGGTTTTGTAAGAAATTTAAAATGCAAATAATTTTCTTTAGGGCACATATCCCACAGCCAGCCCCATCGTAAGAAACCTAGTTAGAATGAATCAATGGTACATCCTATGATGCACATCCACACGATACATCTGCATGTCTTGTACACTTGTACGTCTAAATGGGACGATGTGGGAGGAGGCTGGGGAGCCAGGGATATTGATCATGCATGGATTTTTTTCAACTGGTGGTACTTCACCGACTCCATTAGCAGCCCTGGATCGGGTTTCATTGCCCTGATAGGAGCCTCATCTGTGAGGAGTGCTGGTGGGTTCTGCGGTGAGAAAAGCTGAGGGAGGGGGGCTTTAAAGTAGAGGGGGTGATGGAGGAGAAGAATGGAGGAAGAAACAGTAGCTCTCCAGCAGTCAGCACGTCGGTCTCTCAAACGCTCTGACTGAACCTCTTTGTCTTCTGTTAATGAACTCCCTTGTATCTGCTCTTAAAAGGACAGCCTGGGTCCTTTTGTGCCTAAGGGCAGCCATTTAGAGTTTAATGGTGTTGCTGACTAATATCTGGGCTGGTGACACTCTGGATGATTTTCACTTTGTTCCTGTCCATCTCTATTGATTTACATATTTTGTTAATATTTCATTTGATTTTAGTGATGAAACGTGCATACTAATTGGTAAACTAATATCTTAATAATAATCCTGTTAAAAAGTGATTACAAAAGCTCTTGAAATTCTTGGCTCCACTATGCATCTGAATATATTTATATTATGTTAGTACATTGTTGAGCTGTTTCTCAGAGCAGTGGCCATTGCCTGGTGTACAATGACCCTTAAAAGCAAGGCGAACAGCACTCTGACATGAGGAAAGGTTAAATGCTAAACAATCAGCTTCTCATCATCAGTCGTACAAGCTTATTATAACACAGTTTTGAACAATCTGAATTCCATAAGCAACTGCTAAAACAATTGTGTCATTTTCTTTTTAGCAATAAACATGAAACGATCGTCTCATGCTTGTACAGTACCCCCAGGACACATGTCCTAGATCAAACAAGTTTTGGTTGCAGTGTCTCTTTTTCTTCACCTGGCAAATGCTGTTTCCATGGTTTTGACAGTTAGCTGCCTTCACTCATTTGTGTTGCTGTATAGCACCCCCGGCAAAAACAGCCTTCTCTCTCTCTCTCCTCGCTGCTGCTTGCTGTCAGTCTCTTACTGGCACATCTGTGCTTTCTGCCTGTCTATAATCCTCAGATGTAACCGTTGCACCTGCTACTTTTCACAGAGTTAACTGAAAGGTTATTTGATTTAGAGCAATCCATACAGCTGTCAAGTGATATTTGTCTTTGATGGCGGCACCCTCGCAGTAGTTGCAGGAGCCTTGGATGCTCTGAGGCTTTACAAACGCGAAGCCTTAAAAGATGACTGGGATAAAATCCCAAAGTCCCAGAGAATGTCTATGATCTGATGGGTATGGTATTTGCGTGAATAGAAGCCATTTAGCATGTAATCAGTCAGTCATTTATTTACAGCCACTCAAGCACACACACACACACATATGGGACACGCACACACACACACAGGGCAGACAGTCAAACAGTAAAACAGTGGGGTCCTTGTGGCTTCTGTCTAACAGCTCAGTCTCAGCTCTATCTGTGGTGGATGCTGTCTGAAGGTGCCACAGGCTGGATGCACTCCTGCTGAGATCAGAGGGTTAGCTGGGACAGGAGTGCTGTGTCCCTGTATGTGTGAGTCTGTCTCTGCTCATAGATGTCTACTGTGCTTGTGCACATCTCTTTCTTATGCCTCGCATTCCAAAATCTTTTTCTTCCCGAATGTGTTTGTGCGCGTGCATGTGTTTTTGTGTGTATGTGTGTGCGCACACGCCGCTAAATTGTGTGGATGTAAAGTGCACTGGGAAAGTAGCAGGGCCTCCCTGAACAAAGGCTCAGCTCTTTTCTGAACAATTAGCTCCGCTAAAAAGGACATCTCTTCCTCCATTAGCGGCACCACGTGCCCCCCATCACTCCATTGTGCAGATAATTCAATTATCCCCACCCCCCTCCGCGTCTCTTTGCCTCCCAGACCTCCCTTTACTTGTCTTGCGTTCTTCTCCCTCCCTCCCTCCTCTCCATTATTAGCACAGTCTCGCAGTCTGCTAGTCCTCACAGCTAAAGGGATCATACATCAGTGTTACTCTATGTTTCATATGAAAAATGAAGGTTGTGTATCATAGTAAATAGCAACGCCCAAAGGAATGATCCACTCAGTTAAGAAACAAGCAGTTGTTGGATTCTTTTTTTTTTCCTTTGGTTAATTGTTGTATAAATTCAGTTTATATTAAAATGCTAAAGTGAGCAACTGACCATTAACTATTACAAAGAGGACTTGACTCAACAACCAACGCAAATTACGGGATACAGTTAGAGGAATTCACTTTTACCGCTACTGGTAAAGTACGCTCATTGTTATTAAAAGCTCTGCATATTGCTATGCTCACGACATAAACATTAAAACAATGGGAGGTCTATCACAGGATTCATTAAAGCACCACCTTTCCTGGTGAGCTGGCATCTGTTGCATCATCACCCCCGTCAGTGATTGCATGTCTTTCAGAACTGCATGTTCTCCTACTGAAGTGGTTTGTAATTAGTCACTGCGCTATCAAGAGGAACTTACCACACGAACACTTCCTAGAAATATGGCCTGTAGAACTCTGGGAAAGGGAAGTTTAAAAAATGATTGGTACTTAAAAGCAGAGCGTTTCCAAAAAGAGAATAAATAAATAAAATTACAACACTAACAGAGAAGAAAGCAATCATTTTTCAATCAGGGTACAATGCCAAAAGCTGTAGGTGAAAAGGGGAAAAATGCATTTCTGACGATCTCAAGTGATATTTTTAAAAAGCATTGGAGAAAATGGCTCATCAAAGGAGAAGAAGCAAAAAAATAATTTCAAGATTTCAGTTAACCAAAGCAGAACTTTGAATTATGGGATAGAGATTCCAGAGTGGCTCTATTGTAAACCGTGTCTCAGAAGCCTAATGTGGAAACTCATTCAAACGGTTCAGACATCTAAAAATAAAACTACAAATGTGCAGTGTAGTAGAAGCAGATGAACTCTTCACTATTTTTATTGACTTGCATTTCTTGCTTTAGCTCTATCACCATGCCATGCGCTTCAAATGTGCACAGTTGTGTAGCCCATTCCCCCGCAGTTGTCTGCCGCTTTTCCGTGTTTCCACTCTTGTTTTGTTTTATTGTTAGAGGGGGAAGTGTGCGCTGGCCTGATTAGTATCAATGTTTCCTCCTTTCCCATAACCCTCCAGACCCCCGCAGGCTGCCTGTTTACTTTTAGAAAATAAAAAATGGGCCTTCGCCCGTGAGGACGTGCCCCTCATCAGAGGCGAACCCCCCCCAACTCCACTCAAGGCCCCACATCTTAGATCCTCCTCCCCTCATCTCTTCTCCTCCCACCACTGCAGTCCCACTTCTGTGACTTCTCTTTTTCCCTATCCATATTCTCTCCTAAAATTGTACTCCACCCCCCCCCCACCCCCCCACCCCCAATTCCCCTCTTGCAACTGTCCAGCTGTCAAATCACATCATATAAAACACAGGCCAATGGTCTCTGAGTGCCAGATCACAGCTGTGTCTGCGTGTACTAAATGGGAGTGCATGTTTAAATGTACAGTGAACTCAGGAGAGCCTGGGAGTGAATGTATGTGTGTGTGCGCCTCCCTGTATGTGTGTGTGTGTGCCTGTTTCACTGAATGGAAGGATGCTGTAATACAATACACACAAGAGTGCAGGGTGTGAATTTAATGAATGAATACGCGAGTGTGTATCACTCCAGGATGTTGGTGGAGCGTGTTTGCATGTGTGTGATTTCTGTGCCTGGA